GTTTCTAGAAGAAGTAGAGTCCAGAATAAAAGGAATTGGGCTAGAATATGAAAACACAGAAGCAACATGTGTCTGTGTTTTTAAGGATGCAGTGTCTCCAGGATAATAGCAGGAAAAGATAATTTTACATCTCCATGCAGAAGCATGCCTTGTTTAACTTTTTGTGCTCTGAACAATATGGAAAAGTTCTGACTGCTGACTCTTGCTAACTCTTGCTTGCATTACTATAGACAAGAATTAACTACTTACACCCACGGTTTTACAGTTTTGGTCATTTCAATGACACAACTTGCAGCTGGTTGGACATCTCTGTTGGATCTTTGACAGATAAGTCTTCTTTAAAGAGACTAAAAAGGCCTTGTGAGGCAGTGCATCACTATTTCTGAAGCTGTTCTGTAGACAGAATTCCCTTTGAAGTCAATGGAAGTTCTCTGTGAATAAGAGTTTTAGGATTTGGGCCTCAGGACACAAATGCTGTGATCAATCTTTTGAGCATAGTGAGTAAAATTTTCTTGGCTTTCAGAACTACACTAAGCCAAACAGTAGCCCCAGGGATTCAAAATAGGTTGAACGGGAGAATTTGCTTTGTTTCAACCTCCATCTTTCTTTAGCTTTTAAATCAACATAGTCTCCATGCCTAGTACTGAACTGCCAAAAACACCCTGCAACAATAACAGCAGATCTTTTAATAGTTAGTTTTATAGTCAAACCTATCATGTCATGAGATACTATGAATTAGAGTTGTGTGCAATGAAAAACATAATTATGTGGACTGGCCTGTTTAGAAGTTGAGACCTGAACATACAGTCTAGAACAAAAGACTTGAAGGCTGAGAATTTTATTAATTATGTTACATTAATTATGTTATCAGACTATCATAGTACAAAACACCATGCAAACATCAGAATTAGTGATACAAAAAGTCAGCAATACAAGTAGGCAAGACTGATACTCCCTGTCTCCTATTCTTCATAATTCCCCTGACTTTATACATGGAAAGGTCAGGTAGCAAGAGACTGTGTGACCTTCCAGCATCTCTCAAAAAGTCCAAAATTAAACCTGTCTGCCAGCCTCCTGTCACTGTCAAGACTATTCTCTGCCTTTCACACAATTATAACAGTGTATTACTGGACCTTAAACATCCTAACTTCCTGTTCCCATCCCAGCCTTGGTTGAACATCAGCATACCCAGCCACTTTCCTCCATGAAACTCAAGGCCCAGGCTCTTCCTGTTGCCTGTGATGAAGGCTTTTCCCATGCTGATTTCAGGGGTAACAAGTCTGGAACTGGTGATAAATCCCACCCTGATATGGGCAGCTGTCAGAGAGTGCAGCAGTGCATCAGTGATGGGCCAGAGCAAAACTCTCCTGCATTTTCAATCCTCATAAGATATCACACAACTGTATTAATGAAACGACACATAAGAGAATCAAGAGAAAAGACCAACTGAAACAAGAGAAAAAGCTAATAAATAAAATAAGAAATAAGAATAAGAAATTCTTATTTCCTGAACAGAGCTAAGAGCCTGAAAATTTTACAGGCTCTTAGTGATATCATGGGTGGAGGTACGCAGATGAACAGCTCAGTTCTTTCCCTGGAGTCCCAGCTGTGATGTGGCCCATTACCATTTTGGTGGAGGAAGTCCTGCAATTCTGTTTCTACCCACAGCCAGTGGAGAGTCTCAAGCAGCTGTAAATATCATGTTGGTACACATTGTAGTGGGAAAACCCTGAAGTCTTCAGGTGTGAATATATATGGGACTATCACTAACAGAAGAGTGTTTTGGAGAAGCAACTTCAAAGCTGATGAAGGAAAGACAAAAAGCAATATATTACCTGGAGTATGAGCAACTGTACTCACAAGAAGAAGCTCAGCAGCTAGAAGAATTCCTCCACAGTATCAGTAAGACTGTGGTCTCCACTATACACCAGATATGCCCTGACACAGGTGAACCTGCTTCAAATTTTAAACAAGTAAAGTCTTGTCCACCCTACAACTCACAGTAGTGATGTAAACAGCCTGTTGATTCAGTTGTATGTGTAGATGGTTTCCAGTGTTTGCTTCTTTGATTTCTTCTTCTATTAATTTTGCTTTCTTTTTTACATCTGGATAATGAGTTCCCTTTCCTCTCCCTCCTTCAGTTAGGTCAAAAAACCCTGACTTGCCCAGTTTCTTCAATGCCTTGGCTCTATGTCCCTGTGTGAAATCCAGGTGCTACATTGGTTCCTCCCTGGAGATCTCTCCTTTTGTTCCAGTCCCTTACCTTGGTTCCTGATCTTAGGGAAGAGGCAAAACAGCCAGCAGAGAGAGGCATGTAATAAAAGATAGCTCAGGAAAGACCACGCAGCAATTCAATTTGTTCACCGCAAAGAAGAGGACAAAGTAACATATTTTCCCTTCATATTTAGAAACAAAGAGGGTGAGACAGTCTCACCTAAATCCATTTAGATCTAAATCCATTTAGATTTAGGTGAAATGTGCCACTTTGAGCTTGCTAACATAAGTAAAATATGCTGTTTAGTCTAGTAACTGCAGCACTAGCAAAATTACCCCAGCTAAAGAGAAAGAATGCAAATTTTCAAGCTAAAAAGATAAGAGGTGAGACTCCTCAGACCTTGAAACAGACAGCGCAGAGTGACCCAGGAGTTCTTTCTGACAAAAACTGATTACAAGTGTAACTAGCTGTAAGTGTAGCGTCAAATCAGCATAATGAATATGCATGAACCTATTGCAAAATTCTATGCGTATGGAAATTAGTAAGGATAATAAAAAAGGATCGGGAGTTCTCGGGAGCGTCCATGTCCATTGATGGGCAATGAGTCCCCACATGAGTCCAGCCCTGTAAAAATACATATATCGTTCCCTACAAATCTTCATTAAAATTATAGAGTTTTCATTTTTAATCCATTTTTCATTGGTTTCACCAAAATGCTTCCCTAAGTTTCCTCTCCCTTTCCCTAAGGTATGGGTCCCTGCTCATCCCCAGGGAGCACAGAGAAGCAGGGCACTCAGTCCCTCATGCAGCCTACCACCACCATGGGGAAATGGATGGCCATGGGCTGGCAAGTCATGAAAGGCACAGGCAAGGGAACATCCTTGTGTGGCCACTACTCAACCTCCTCTGGCGTGACCCATGGGGTAGCTGCTTCATGAGCCTGTCAGACCACTCTATTTGATCCTAGCTGGAAGAGTGCATTCAGGTTTTAGGATCCTACAGAGTCTGAGATTGGTTCTTGACAATTCTTTCACCCCCAGTTTGGAAACTCTCTGGGCAATAAAACTTGCTTACTTATGCCCAAAGAGAAGACTGCAACTTGCTTTTGTCGGTCATGTTTGCATCTATCTTTCTTGGGGATGGGTAAAAGAAGATGGAACTGGAAGAGAGCTGCTGTACAATAAATTCAGACACAATCACAATCCCGCTTTTTAATTGCCAGAATACCCTCTTTCCTTGCATTTGAGGACTGCAAAATTAAATATATATATATATATTATAAAAGAATACATGTTAATATCCTATCTGCACTACGAATGGTAACAGTGTTGTATGTGGACATCCTGATCAGACACAGCAATAGCTGAGGCGGCCTCTGGGGAAACACCACTAGAAACAAATTCTGCTCTCTGGAGCACTGAGAGCTATGAAATTATATCCTGAAATAATTCAGGATATCCAAAATGACACTGACAAGGACTCCAAGTCTGCATATCAATGAAACTTTACTCACACCACCTGCATCAGAAATCCAGTACAATACACTTCCACATCAATTGGAAGATTCATCTAGAGAAAATAATTTCAGCTTTGAGAGACTGAAGAAGGCTAATAAAAATGTATTTTCTTAATAAGCTTTTGTTGTTCTTGCTTTAATCTTCAAAACCTTGTATCTTCTCCCAGTGTAATACTAATGATAGCCTTTGTTTTTCCTTCTTACTGGCAATGAAGTTGGAACACACAGTAACTGTGGTAACCAGAGTGCATTACTGAGTCTTAGGAGCAATGCAACAGTGTTTCCCAGATGCAGCTTAGAACTGTGCAAATGTTGTCTACCTGCATTAATTCTTCATTGTCTTGCTGTTTAAGCAAGTATCAGTGAAAGACAACTTGGATTAGAGAAGTAAAAAGCGAATCAAAAAATGGTCTCTTTCAGACTGCTTCCATCACCCCATTTAGATCATGCTAATCTCTTCTTTGTGAAGCACAGCAGGTCACTTTTGGCTGTGAATGAAAACAGTTTGTCCGAGCTTCCAGCCCAAAGGAAATAAATGGGTAGGACAAAAGACATGACAGGGAGTAAGGCACTCAGTGCCTCTCTGTGTCAGTCTTCCCCAGATTTCATCAGCTGATGAAGGCTGTGGATGACACAGAGCTGGAATATGCACATGAAATAAAGGAGAGTTGGAACATAGTACAGGAGGAAAGCAAACTTGCTAGAGAGTAGTAAAACAGAAATGGGGTGGAGTACAAGATGCTACTCTTGAGAAGCAAAACACAGAATCTCCTACAAGCTGAGACCTCATCAGCTGCCGATCACATGTTAGAAGATTATTTATGGCAAGACCTCAGGGGGAAAGAACTTGAAATCGAATTAAAGAACAGCAGTACAGTAACAGAAAATTATCAAACTAGAAATAAGAAGATCTGTGAGGTCTGTGGTGGTCTGCTAGCAAGAAAAGCTGAAACATCCATTCTATGCTAATATCTTTCAAAATGTGGTGCTTCATCAGTTTATAGAAACCGAATTCTCATCCTGTGATCCTAAGTTTTGAAGAGTTGAAATTACTGACTTTCAAGCTGGTTACAAAAGCAGGAATGGTTCTTTGCCTAAAATAACCAAAATGTTCTCAAGGATTAGGTTTACTATGGAAATGGTTGGAGTGTTCTCTGCACATTTAATATGAAAGCAAAATACCACGTCAGTGGATTAGTAATATAAACAGGAACTAATTGGTCCAATTCAATTGCCTATGGTAAACAAAACACAAATATTTGAAAAACATTAGAAATTATAGAAAGTTTATTTGATCTCTTATATTATTTCAAAAGGTGCAACCTACCTGGTTCCTTATTAATTAAACACAAAAAAGGACTGACTACAATTAAATATAAAAGCTTCATCTCACTAATATTAGTCATTTTAAGATACTCACCTGCTCACAGGTCACATTTTCCCTTATTTTTTCAAGAGCAGTCATAAAGTTATTTCTTTACTTCATTAAGATTATTTTTCCTGCTATTATCCAACAAAATTCCATTATTTCTTTTCCAGACCTTACACAGCATTTCTGTCAAGAGGTCTTTTTCCAGGTGTGAATATATTTTTATATGTATATATACACACACACACACAGAACCCAAGGAAATGTAACTTCACAGATTTCATTTTAATTATAAGCACCAAGTCACAAGCTGAGCTTTGTTATACTTGAAAATATATATTTCAACTATCTGTCAAGCCACAGTGCTGTTACCAAAAGGCATCTCAGACATTAAAAGGGAAGATCTTAGTTTCATCTACTACCAGCTTTGTACGGTAATCTCTGTAATGAAGAGTATTTGTTTCTGGATCTAGAGCAACGACGAGCATGTCCTCCATTTCCTCCTGAGTAAAGCGCTCACCTGAAAGACAGCACAGAATAACATTTTATCTTGCTAAGTATCCTTTCAAGGACTGGCAAATTCCACTGCCTTTCCCTTGTAAGGATCTCCTTTTGATTCTCACACAGAGGAGAAAAGGAACAAACTATCTTACTCCTTCCCTTTTGCCAATGTAAGTCCTGCACACTAAGAGAGCCAGTCCAAAAGAAAGGAGAGGATCTGGACCTATCTAATCTTCTAGTTCACAGACACCAAAACAGCCTGTTCCTCTCTGCCATGGATTTCAAAACAACCACTTTTGTCCGTTTTTCTCCTGGGTACATTAGAATTATTATCTCTCATTTGGCTCTCCTTGCACTTGTATTCACATCATGAAAGACTTCCAGTTTTTCTTTTCAAAGCTGTTTATGGACTACTTCATCCCTCAGAGAACCAGGTTACCATCTGAAGCTAGATCTTGCACAAAACCTGCACACCCTTTTGAGCATGAGGCAGGTGGGCATGAGTCAGCCATGCAAGAAAAGCAGGCTCTTCAAGAGACATTGAGGATTACAGAATGTACAACTTAAATCTTGTCTTTGAATCTCTTTGTTTGCATGCGGCTCTAGAATTAAGATCAAGATAATGAGCACTGAAACCACTGAAACATCCGGAAATCTAAGCTGCAGTTTTACAAGACAACAAAAGAGTCACATACTTAGTGAGCACAGAGGTGTGCACAGAATCACAAACTATCCAGACATAACTGAATTACAAATAAGGATAAGAATAAAAATCTCTATTTTATAATGTCTGCAAGCAGGCAAATAAATGCTCTTTCCATTTCACTGACGAGTGAAATGTCCAATGTCTGTGGTTACAGACTGGTGGTTACACTCCTGACAGCAACAGCATTGTTTGAAGACAATGTATCTACTCCTGCAGGTTTTGGCCTGCAGGGTGAGGACCTCAAGGTGCCATATACTATGTAATGCTTTTTACTTAAATACTGATATTAAAGAAGTCATGTTACCTTCTTCAGTCAAATGTTTGACCAGGTCCTCTTTAGTAATATATCCACATTTATTCTCATCCAAAGCCTTTAAAGAAAAAGAATAAAACTTGTGGTTTTAAGCTTATTGTATTAAAAAGCAGAAATTTCTTCCCAGCAATTAGGTACTTGAATATTTTGTTACAGACCTCAAATGCATGTAGAATAACATCTTCTGGAATAGGTTGGAATCTGAAACCATGGAATCAGAAAAGTCAAGTTACTGTTTGCCAGTGTTCTGAAAAAACTAAACACAAGTACTAAGGGAAAGGAAGGCTTATATTCTATGAGAATTTACTAAGTTTTGTCTATCAAACATTTAATTGCAGCCTGACCTTTTGGAACTGTCCATATATTTAACTCTTACATCTTTTGTTGTACTACTGTTTAATTTCCCTTGTGGTGAGGAGCCAGATTAATGTCTTCTGCATGTCTGGGCTGGCTTGGTGGGTAAGTAGGAATCAGCAACAGATGAATCATTCCACAAAGCCAGTGCACTGAACAGATATGGACAAACCAAGAAAACAAAGTTTTGTCCAGGTAGGCTGGTAACTAGAAAACAGATCACCCAGTGGGACTTGGGCAGCCTAATGAGCTGATGATGAGCAAAGGAGGCTGGTAGCTATAAAAGGTCTGTCACTAACAATTTCAGAGAGAGGGGAGAACTGGGCACGTTTATGCATGCATGTTCATGCTTCATTTTGGAGCAGGAAAGAAAGCTCAGGGCAACAATGGAGACTTTCCATATCCCAGCAGTTTTTACCCAAACACCCAGAATACTAAAGAGAAGGGGCTCCAGGGAAGTTCTAACTGCTTGACTGCTTTGTCCGGACCTGCCTCAGTCTTTTACTATCTAAAAATCAAATGTGCTAAGAAGAAGCCTTGGATTTTATGATCCAAATCTCATGTACCCTTGCTTAAGTGAACTATGGACAGTGCCTCAGAAGATGAAGTGGGTCTTGACAAGCTTGCACTAGCCTTGGGAAAGCGTGCAGGAGGTATCTGTGTATGTGTGTGTGTGTGTGTGTGTGTGTGTGTGTGTGTGTGTGTGTGTGCGCGTGAGCTTGCATGAAGAGGGTATGGAGGAGTAGGAGGAGAAGAGCCCAGAGCAGCAAGGCATCATTTTCTGAAAGAGTGAACATCAGTGTGGAGCCACAGCTACTTCATATGTAGAACACCCTCCTACCAAAGGTCCTCTGTATGCAAAATAACTTCTCAGGATTGCACATGTCTGAGTGTCTCAAAAGCCTTGACTACCATCTTTAAAATTAAAGATAAACTCCTTGTAAGTAATCTTGCTTTAGTGCAAAATGTCAAAATAGCACAAGTCCCTGTGTATGTGCAAAGACTTCTATGCATGTTTGTGACCACTTCTAGATCAGCAGTCTTTTAGAGTGCTAATTGTTCAGCTCTACCTGGCAGCCATTTTGAGACATAAATATGAAGCTTCTTTGCACAACTTCCTTAGAATACACTGTAACACTCAGTGCTTCTCAGCATATGTAACTCATATGTTCAGAGAAAGCAATAGTTGTGACCTTAATTTGCATGCAAAATATTTCAGAGATATAGAAAGTTTGTTGAATACCAATTCTGATTCCAATTTAAATTTATTATCACAATTATGATTATAAGTTGGTATTATGTATATCATCAGTATATAATTTAATGTAGATGAACTAATTTTGAAACAAAATCTATATAGCTAATGTAAAAGGAGTTTAAATAACAAAGAAGATCTATACTCCTTCCAGTTACATAAAATTTCTGTTTTTAAGAATCAACCCTGTCAATCTGGAATAAACTACAGACACATAAAATTCACTTTCCATTACCTTCTGTCAAGTAGAACTTCTGTCATCACTCGAAGAAAGTTTTCCAGATGAACGAATCCATCCGGTTCTTCGATCTAAAAATAAAATTTAAGTGTGGCAGGGTATATGACTCATTAGCAAACTAACCCAAAAACAAGAAAATTGGGGTGATCCCTGCATTAAAATTACAGCATTAGACTTTGGATATTTATATCAGGTCTTTAATAACATATGGCACCATAACATCTGAGTGAAAGGTTTGTGATCAAATAGAAAGAGATTCCAGGAAGAACTAATATCCCAGAGAAATACAGGTCTGCTACCAGACACTTGCAGCAACTCAGTATTGCCCTCTTGTGCTTCAAAACCATTCATGCAAAGGAACCGGACACCGAGGAACTGATCTTACCTGCCACAATAACTCAGCAGAGGTTTAAACATTCACACTGAAGCCATATCAGTAAAGTCTATCAGGATCTGGAGCATTCCCAAGCAGTGTAATGTGAACACTCATCACAGCAAACCACGAGCATGTTCCCTTGGCATGATTTTGAACTGTGCCACCCAACATTTAGCCCAGCAGATGCTGGCTTGGACTTCTCCCCAGCAGGATGCTTGGTGTAGCCACTCTGCATAAAGCATTTACCAGGCTGGGCATGAGCTGCTCTGTGCCTGCTGGCTTCAACACTCAAGGATGTTTCTGGGCATATTTAATTGGCTAGCTTGGATATATCTCCAGTCAATGCACCTTAACAATAGAATCTGTTGCTTTCATGTTTCATAGTTAAAGAGAGTTGTCAGGGGAAGGACCAGAGAGGCAGACAGACTGAGTCAGGGCAAACCAAAACAGCCATAAGGCAGCCTATAAAATGCTACCCAAAACAGCAAACAAATTAGTCCCAAAATACTGGGGACTTTTAGCAGCATTCTCACTGCATTCCTATACTTCCACAGGAGATAAGCAACATGGTAAAAAACAGCTCTCTGTCATTGGGGTGCATCCCTTCCCTGAAAATGTCAAGTTTTGCTTGCAAAAGGAGCCCTGTTAATTGAGCTAGCCTGTTCCTGTCTGTATTGAAACTGGATGCAAGCCTTGAGGTTGCTAGGCCCCCTGAGACACAGCTGAGATTGAAAGAAAACTCAAACAGGCACTGATTTCATATCTTCTAACTGAGCCAGGAAAAGCTTAGTAAGGAATCTTCCTCCTGGACACTGGGTCATAGCTGGGGCAGTTCCTGATACAACCAGTTGCTTAAATGGAAAGCTGCAACTGCTGCTGCATGCTCTTTTCCAGTGCTCTGGAAGGGGCAAGACAGCCATCATGTCTTGCTGATTTAGAGTGGACACTGGCTTGAAAAAACACATTTTGCCTTCTATTTCGTGAGCCTAGCAGTAAGGATCTTCAGCAAGGAAATAAAGATGTTCCATGCTTCATTCTAAACCAGATGGAACCTTTTACCATTACAGAATCACTTGTTTTGCTGCTTGCTTGATTGAAAATATGTAACAAAATACCTGGTAAAACTTTGTCCTGGGAGGTGATCAGCAACCTCAGCTTCCTCTGACATGGAACAAACAGCTGCCATTTCAGAGTGTCTATAGATCCAGTAGCATCTTGAGCAGTTAAAATTAATCCTACTTCTAACACTTCTTACTCTTCCTCATGCTCACTCTACACCTCATTTCTAATTCCCGTTTTTCTTTTTCTGTATTTCCTCCTCTTTTCACAGTAACATTATTTGCTTGTTCAGACTCTGAGTTTCACTCCATTCCTTTCCTTTGAGTACATCCACACCTCCCACAACAACTGTATTGTAGCACCTACTATGTTTTGTATCTCTGTTCTTTCAGCCATAATATTGGGGTACTTGAAATACAAAGAAACAAAAACATCCTCCAGGGTTACCAGGCAGAGCACTGTACAGAACTCCAGGCATTGTAGTAACCCTTAGGTAAGTTTCCACCATCTCTAGATTTAGCATTTAATCTTAGCTTTGTAAGTAGGCCTAGAGATATGATATTAAGTACAAAATTGAGTATAAGGCAATATAAGAAACGTTATCATTTATAGAGATTACATAATTATATGAATACTGTTTTTGCAGATATTAATAACGTGATGGGAGCATGTGCTAGTTTAGCAATAAGGCTAATAGGAAGATGAGATGACAGAGACACATGTAGTGAGAAACAGAAATGGGCAACAATACTGGGGAAATAGCTTGGTTACAAACTGGCTAACAGACACAATTTTTACCTTATCTAGATTAAGATAAAATGGCATTACCACAGCCAATTATAGTGCCATCTTACATAAATTATGTGATTATCATAATATATGTAGGGTTCCACAAGAAGACAGTGCTGTTCTGGTACCAAACCTATGCCAAAGCTTCATTTACAAGCACCATGAAACATTATTTGATATTTATTTGCTAGTGCAGTGTTCTTTAAGGTTAACCATCACTCTGAATGTATTCTTTCTTCTTGCAGTATTTGTATTTTAATATTCTTATAATCAGCATTTTCATACATGTTACACTTTTATATCTCAAGAATCTTCTGCCTCATAGCTACATTGCATTGTACTTTTTTATGTATTACTTATCTCACATTTTCAGTAATATTGAAAACTGGGGAAAAAAAAAAAAGTCCAATCCCTTCCAGAGGATGAGGCAGGCCTTAAATTCTCCTGGTTGCCCTGGACTTGAACAGGATTGTCAAGGCATCCCCTTTTCACAAATCTGTATCTTCAGTGAGGAGTCTCACTGTTCACTTGCTGTAAAGAAAAGTCACAGTGGGACACTAAAAACATCATCTATATTAAGCACCATAATTTCTCTTTCCATTTTGTCTTGTTTGTCAGTGGGAGCTGAGACAATCTGGTTCTGAGAGTACAGAACCAGAGCAAACAGATTGCAGTATCATGTTAAAAGAGCTTTCTCCTCTAGTGGATCTCAGCACTTCCTCATCTGAAGCAGCTGCATCATTTTCACAAGACTTAGTGCAAGACTTCTCACACTAAATTCAGATCTACAAGAGGTCAGACAAGCCTAGTGAGAAGAGACTACTACTGCAACTATCCAAATTTTTGTTGGAGCAGGAAGAAAACAGTATGAGATATCAATTGCCAGCATCCTAACCTACACAAGAATAGGAAAAAATCCTTACCCCCACCTCTCAGCTCCAGCACTGTCCACTCCTTAAAGCAGCATGCCCATTTGCAAAAAGAATATGAAGTCTTTTTCCCACTTCTTTGTCCCATTTATTAATTACACCATGCCAAGGCACCAGCACACCACCTTTCTATTACAAGCATGATGTAAGGAGACAAAAATTAGTATAGGGAAAGACTGTGGAGAAATGTAATTTCTTTACCTTACCATTGTCTATCTCTTGAGAGAATGAGAGGACCACTAGGTTTTATGATGTTTCATGTTGTGAAGCCTGATTTACAAGCTTAAGCAATCAAGTAAGAAAAGATTCTCACCTATAACTCAGAAATCTCAAGACTGAGAAAGACCTCATGAAGGACAGAATGTTGAAAGTTTGCTATAAGGCAGCAATAACAGGACCTAGTTCAAAAAATGGCAGGCTTTCCCTCTAGGTATTTTTGGAATCTGATGTTTAATTTTAACACCTGCTCAAGAACTAATTATTACTACCTAACCCTGCAATGTGTTTCCATGGCATGTCCAAAAGAGGGAGATGGTTAGAGTTTGGATATCTGACTGAGGTTTAGGACATTCTTTTTCATCAGTCAGTTTTTCCTCCATTTTCTAAAAATGTCCCTCCACCTTGGCACAGTGTCACAGTCCCCTTTTGGGCAAAAAAGAATCAAAGACTCCTCATTTTAACCCATCAACATTGTTACCTCATCTGCCTACAGATCTGATTCAGGGCAACCTACAAGACTCTCTGCTGGAAACACTTCCATGACACTTCCAACATCTTGGAAAAGAGTTTAGATTTCCCATTCAGCAAGGTAGAAGGGCCAAACTTCTGCAAGTTGAAGACTGAAAAAAAAATAAAGCACATCTAAACATTTACCTTTGCAAGCAGTTCCTGTACTTCTGCCTCATTTGGGAAGCAACCCAGTGACCTGATAATGCAACCAATCTCTCTGAAAGAGAGGGGAGGGGAGAAGGAAGGGGAGGGAGAGGAAGGAAGGAAGGAAGGAAGGAAGGAAGGAAGGAAGGAAGGAAGGAAGGAAGGAAGGAAGGAAGGAAGGAAGGAAGGAAGGAAGGAAGGAAGGAAGGAAGGAAGGAAGGAAGGAAGGAAGGAAGGAAGGAAGGAAGGAAGGAAGGAAGGAAGGAAGGAAGGAAGGAAGGAAGGAAGGAAGGAAGGAAGGAAGGAAGGAAGGAAGGAAGGAAGGAAGGAAGGAAGGAAGGAAGGAAGGAAGGAAGGAAGGAAGGAAGGAAGGAAGGAAGGAAGGAAGGAAGGAAGGAAGGAAGGAAGGAAGGAAGGAAGGAAGGAAGGAAGGAAGGAAGGAAGGAAGGAAGGAAGGAAGGAAGGAAGGAAAGGAAGGAAGGAAGGAAGGAAGGAAGGAAGGAAGGAAGGAAGGAAGGAAGGAAGGAAGGAAGGAAGGAAGGAAGGAAGGAAGGAAGGAAGGAAGGAAGGAAGGAAGGAAGGAAGGAAGGAAGAAGGAAGGAAGGAAGGAAGGAAGGAAGGAAGGAAGGAAGGAAGGAAGGAAGGAAGGAAGAAAGGAAGAAAGGAAGAAAGGAAGAAAGGAAGAAAGGAAGAAAGGAAGAAAGATCATTGTTAATAAGTCTGCAATACAAGACTTTTAGAGCTTGCATATAGGGGTGTGCACATAAAGGCACACAAGAAAATCTATTTGGAATTTTAAGTTGATGTCTCAGCAAGGAATGTCTGCTTTTTCAGACATAAAATATTCTGAAGCTCCTTGAAATTGTTCTTGCAATTTCACTAAAAAATTATTTAATATTGTGTTGCACTGTACTGTGTGCAAGTTACTTTCACATTGCTGTTCTCTAATTGTAATGTTTATTTTCAGTAAAGTCTATATATCTATAGTTAACAAATTACTTGAAAATCTACTGAGATGCAAAGTAACATATAAAATACATACTTCCAATAAATGCTATAAAGATACAAATTCTATCTGCATTAAAGAACAATTACAAAAGGTGAAGAAGAAGTATGCTCATCCTGTGCTCTCAGAGAGTCAAACAGAGCAACAAAGTGGCTTATCACCACTCTGTTTATGCTGTAAGTATATTCATAGCTTTCATTTACTGCTGAACCTGGTGCAGCTGTTCTGAGGCTCTAAATAAAATTCTGACCAAACTCGCAATGCCTCAAAGTAGTCTCAAATGAACAATGTCACAGACTAGAAACAAAATTATTGCAAGGCTGTAATGAAGCTTTAATGAGACTTATGGTATGATTAAAAAAAATAACAGAAGCATTAATAAAGCTTGAGACTTCAATTCAACAACACAGAAATTTAAGCACATTTGAATATCTATTCACAGTGCCAGTGGTTCTCATAATCCAAACCTCTGTGGTTCCTTCATCTTGACCAGTGGTAAATTTTTCCATTTTGTGCAAAAATCAGATTGCCTAATAAAATGGTAGTACAAGGAGAAATGATTTTTGTAAAATCTTCTTACAACTGTAAGGCCCTGAATGCAGCACACTAAGCATACGCAAAATTATATTTATAAGTCTATGACCTCCTCAGACAGGTCCCAAGGAGTTCCCATCCTGACTGAAAATGTGAGAAGCACTACAATAGACAAAAGAGAGAAAAAAGCTGGCTGCACAAAACTAGTTACAGAGCAAAACCAAATCCCACACATCCATGTGTTATGAAATTAAACCATCTACTCAAAGGACCCTGCCCCTGTGGGTGTGAATGGCCAATGGCCTCAGGGAGGTCACTCATTTAGACATAATCCTACTTCTAGTATGTCTAATATTGCATTTGTTGTTCTCACTCCTGCACTCCTTCATATTTTCCAGCTACTTGTAATTATTCCCTGCCTCCACCAGAGCAACATCCAACACAAATCCTGCGTCCTTGTTGTCCCACACTGTTTCTGCTCTCACAGACTGCCAGGAATGGGAATGCTGCCATCACCCTCCTGCCTCACTTCACTCACACCCAGCAGAACTGTGATGTGACTGAGGTAAGTCAGACCCTAAAAGAGTCTGCAAAATCTGGCACTGCTGGATGCTCTATCTGGCAGTCTGTCTGCATGCCAGCACGAGGATTTTGCTTGAAGTGCTTGTGGTAAAAAAAGTCAGGACCCATTTGGTAATAACATGGACTTTAAAGGACCTGATTTAAAGTTTAAAGGAAACTATTTTGCTCCCAGCCCCTTCTTCTCACTTAGTTCAGCAACTGCAGTTTCTGCTGTGTAGTTACTAGAATACAAAAACAATAGTTAAAATCAAGGTTATGACCATACAAGTTTTGTTACACAGACGCAACGAAAATTTTGGGTTCATGGTTTTCACCTTACGTATAACACTTTTAATAACAATATTTGCAATATCACAAAAGTCCTTGACTGAAGAACACTAAATATTCATGAAAAATACCATCTTCCTAGTGCTTAATGTCTTACTAATTTGTACTAGGAGTCATGGAATACCTATGTTGGCTTGTCAAACCAGTATCATTTTCCATTCTTCACGGATATCTGATATTTCAGGCATTAACACTGATACAGCTACAATTGTGGTTAAGACTTGTGCTGTGCTGCCACCTTCTGATACAAGATAATCAGCCATTAATAAACCCATTTCTGATACAGCCCTGCAATATGAACCTAGGAATAATTAGACAGTAAGTTTTTGTTCATTGTCTGTACCCGTACTACACAAAAATTAATGTGAAATTGTGCATTTACTACATTAAATATACTTTTGGATGTCCCCTGTCTGAATTAATACATTTTTTAAAAAGTCTACTTGTATCATTTCATTGCTGTAAACCATGCTCCCAAGCTGTATATGCATATATAACAGAGTGAGAAGTGGAGAAAATTCTACAGCTGTCTAGCCAAGACTGCAGATGCCAAGACTGCAGACGAACAAACAAGCAGTGAGTATGCCATGATGCAGTGAGGGCTGGGGGTGGTACTGGTGGGGGCTCTGCCCCAGGCTGGGCAGCCAGGGCTCACCCTACTGCCCAGCCAGGAGCGGGCACCAGGGGGCATCGGGACAGCTCCAGCCCTGGTCATCAGGCTCCTCCCTGGGCACAGACCAAGAGATTTAAGAGATCACTCTCCCCTGCAGAGCCCTATGGACAAGGGAACAGCAACTATACTGAGTATGGAGACATATCCTGATATTCTCCCCATTTGGTATAGCTGAAAAACCATTACTTCTATGGAATACCTGCAATTTCTTAAATTTAGAATCATTAGTAAAAATGCATTGCTATAACCATCCCATAAATATTTTGCACCTCCTTTTCCTCTCTGTAATACAGAAAAGCTGTTCAGAACACTTAAATATGCTTTTCAATTTGTCTTCATGCAGAATGTCTAATGACAACAATTTCACCAGTTCTCACACTCCATTGTAGTGTTTCTATTCAACAACTGATTTATAATTGAAATTATATTCTTTTGAAAATAGTAATTATAAATATGAAAAACTACTCCAGTAAACTTTCATGACAACACCTTATAACCTCAGAGCCTGCTACCTGAGACATATACATGTGGTTTATGCATTTTATAACGTAAGTTATACGTGTATGAATGTTTATGTTAAAATTAAGTTCAAGTAGCACTGTCAAATATTCAAACTTTAAAAATACCAGAATTAAAAGCATCCAAGAATTTTTAGGCATCCATCCAAGGTCAATCCACTACAAACATACTCGTCCAAACAGGGTGAAAAGAACTGTTTCTATGACATTTTCTGGTAAAGCAGATGACAGTTTAGGGAGCTGTTTATCTCTATTGAGAGTCTGTAATATATTTGTGAATATATTTACAAACCTGCCATCCACAGTTTTATTGGATTCACGGTCAAACACCTCAAAAGCTTCTGTAATTTTTTTCTCAATTTCAGCTATTAGGCCATCTGCAAAAAGAAACATAAGAAAAAGAATGATTCACTGAGCTGTTACAACTAATATATTTCCAGTTTGAGACTTATGACAGCAGAAACACCAAAACTGATAAAGAGCAGACAGGAAAGGTACTTTGAAAAAGCAGAAGTTATGAAAAACCTCCACTCTAAATGCAGGATCTGTCATTTATATTAGTAATATTGCCTTGCTATGGCTCTGCAGCTACATCAAGCCTGCTGGCAATGGTATGCCTCAGGTGTATGAACACACAGCTCAGGTGTATGAACACACAGCTGCCTGGGTGGGGACTCTGCCCAGAGTGTGCCACAGCTCACCCTAGACCACAGGCCTGAGCCCTTCCTGGCTGCCACTGTGCCAGTGGAAGGAGCAAAGCAAACATTGGCCCATGCTTGCCCTGAGATGGGGCTGTCACTTCATCCAGGTTCCTGCATCCAGGAAAACATAAGTGCTCTCATGTCCACTCAGTTAGGCATAATGTATGAAAAGCTGAGAACCAGGGATAAAGAGATAAGATCTGTACACAGTGAATATGGCTCATGGCAAATTATTCATAGTAAGATTTTGGAAAGGAAGGACAATCTCAGCAAAGGAGAAGGAGTAATTTGCTGCATTTGCTTTTTGTATCTCAATCTCAAAGAATGGGGAAAGAAGAACTATAAGTTATCACAGATATATCTCACATAAGCCAGAAATTGCATTCTTGGGGCAAGCTAAGAATCAGGAAATAAATTCTGGAGAAAAAATATAAGGAGGTGAATGTGTCTATCTCAAAAGGAAAAAAATAGAGAACTGGTATCCCATTTATTAGTTTGACTCCAAATGACAGAATATAGGAAGCAAAGTGACATGAAGTTGACTTCTTGGTCCCTTGGTCCCAAACTCTGTTTTGCAAACTATGTTTGGCAACCCAGGAGGCAGCATTTCTTAAGCTAGCCCCCAAGCCTCCACAGAGATTCCAGAGGGAAAATCTGAATGACAGCCAAATTGAGACTGGTATGAGGAACACTTGTTTTCTCATTTTCATACTTGTCTTCTGTATTTTCAATATAATAAGTAAAACAAAACTCTCCTCTAGCAGACAATATATTTCCTTCTTTAGCTGATGTGGTGTTAAGTGCTGTTGAGCAGCTCAGGCCAACATTAAGACACCAGATCTGTTTTCTACAGGCATAACAAATTTATACCTAGTCTTCTACAATCCAAATAGTTTGGGAACCCCTGGGGCTGTAGTGTACAATAATTTTTTTCATTTGCCTTCTTGCACTCATGACAGAAATGTCATTTTGCTGAAAAAGGGCATCAGAACTGAACATTGCTGAATGATACATTGGCTTTGTGATCTCCCTCTATCATGACTCATGAGCTTTTTTATTGTGGTTTTTCCTTCTCTGCAGCTGAGAAGGGTAGAGAGAGGCTGCAAAGGGTGCCAAGGCCAGCCCAATGCTGGCTACAAGCACTACAATACAACAGTGGATTGACCCAGATATAAGGAACCTCTTCTGCAAGTAGAAGAAAGGTGCATCCCCTCATAAAGCTACGGCTGCCTGCTGCTTTCCATCTGTATTTGGTACTGAAGTCCCCAGAGGATAGAAAAGAGAAGATAAGTATGAACATATCCTATATTCCTCTCCCTAACTTTATGCCCCAGTGGAAGCATGGGCAGGTATGTGTGTGATGGATTGGAGACTGGAGCTCCCTGAGGATGAGGAGTCCTATGCAGTCCCCAGGCACAGGACAAACTGTACCCTTTTTACAGCCTGACAATAATGCCTACTTTTTTTCTGCCTATGTGCCAGTAAAATTCACTTTTAATTATTAAAAAAAAAAAAAAAAACAACAACAAAAACCTAGTTAAATCTAAGTGGACCTGATTCCTTGTAGAAAAGTCCCTAAAAAGTCCCTAAAAACTCTCAAAGTTCTAAATTTGGTGGGGTTTTGTTTTCTGGTTAATTCAAAGAATCTTGCATCATGTCTCCCATGTAGACTCAGAGTTTAGTTCTTGACATCAGTCATTTCAATTGTACACTACAACTTGCAATAGAGAAACATTGAAGGAATATTTATAGCTGTATATTCTTGGCATGGTATATGAGAAAAGAAAATTAGCCAAGAGAAGGCAGGGAGAGATTTTTATTGCTGGTACTCTGTAAGCACCCAGCCTTTCCAAGCTCATTTCCATGAAGATAGTATACTTTAATCTTACCTTCTGAAGAGGTCTGATAAAGAAAAGTCCTCAAATGAGATGAACTTGATTTAACCTAGGTACCAGATAATCTATATCTCTTCCAAGAACTGAGAGGAAGTTGTGACTAAGAGCCATATCCCTGGAAGAAAACATAATATACTATTGTCCTTTCAAAGACTCTCTGTGAGATGAGTAAACACGCAATAAGCTACAGGCTGAATTTGTTGTCTTTCCTCCAGGAATGAAAGCCAAAGATGTTCAACATAGTTCAGGCTGGCAAAGCTGTTTATCTGAACATTTCTACAATTCACTGTAAACCTTTCTTTGTGAGGGAAAAGTACACGGATTCCAACCCCAGGATAAGAAATAGGTTAAGTTTTAAAATTATTGATTCAAGAGGGGCATCAAGAGATCAGACACCACAGTTAACTCAGTGGATGTGGTGCTTTAATGTACTGAAATCGTTCTGTACAAGGAGACTCTCCACCATGGGTAGATCAATGAAAGTTTCATGGACAGTGTTCTAGCAGTCTTTCAGAACAGGAATACCTACACTCTGACAGAAAAAGATTTCACTCACTTATTCTACAAACTAGCAAAAGAATATACAGTGTCAAGGATAGAATTTTCTCACTTCTTGTAATGGAGTAAATAAATAAACATTGAAATATAGCATGCCAAAAAGGATTCCTATAGCTACATCTATTTATTCACTCAAAGAAATCCTGTAGGCATGATGCATTATTTCCATTTTTATGCTGTTAAAATGCTTGAGAAACTTGTCAATGTTGTCCCATCCTAATTTATTTTCCTACCACATATGCAATAAGAAGAAAAATTGTCCTAAAATCTATTTCTCAAATACATTAACTGAAAATGTATTCACTATCAGGTTTTCTTTCCTACACTATCATTTGCTATTTTCCCATTTTGTTTAGTGTGAACTAGATAAAATTCTCAATACTGCCAGTTAAGTAAGACTGACAGAGAGCTGGGACTCCCAAGTCAATTGTGATGGTTCTTGCAGAATGAATTGTTCCTCTTCAGCTTGCCCAGACTGTTCCCTAGCACTCTGAGGCCCATTTGAGCAGCCCTTAAGCAGAATACCTGCTTCAGTTGTGACATTTCTTCTTCATAGACCACACTTTCAGCCTTTGTAGGGAACAGAAACCACTTAGCTAGATGTGGCTCTGCCAGACTCTTGAGTAATGAGAATTTTTAAAAAGGATTTCTAATTGATACAATTTGCTAGATTCTACCATTCACTTAATGGATTAGCTTGCTTTCTTTCCTTCCTAGGGGCCAGCTGCTCAGATGGTTCAGAAAGCCAACCCTTTCTTTCACTAAAGAGAAAAAATGAGTTATCATAAGAGATAGTCCAGCATTAAACAATCACTAAAACGCTGGGGAGCAGCATCTGTCTGTTGCTCACAGGAAAAGATTTAGTCCCAATGCATCCTGATGAACTATTTACATTATGAAACACTTTTAAACTCTTTTTACACTACTTAAAAGAGTAAAATTAAGGGTTGATTTGTAGAAGTACCAGTGGACTTGATTTTATTACTTTGTGTTACTGCACACACCTGAAACATTAGTCTTTATAAACATTAATTTAGGTGTGTTTTAATAAATATTGTCAATTATATATTTAAGCTCCTATATGCATGTAGATATCTTATTAATTATTAATTACTCCATCCTCTTTCCATGGTACCATGCTGTGGCTACAGGCAGATGTGAGGAAGCCCCTGAAGTCTCTGCCGACAGGAACCCTTTCTCATGTGGGCGTGCCTTGTGGAACTTGCCAGTCTGAAGGGACAAGGGACACAACCAGCACAGTTTCAGAATCATTTACATGTTATTATTCCAGTGTTATTTAAAGTGCTGTTATCAACAACTCTTTTGTAGATTTCCCCATCCAGTAACTAGGGCTTATCAACTGGAAGTACAAAATCTTATCAGTGGCTTTATACTCCAGCACCATTCCTTCTCTTTTCCACTAGCCATTATTTCAACCTAAAAAAGTAGGCAGCAACCTTGGTACTTTCAGCTGAATTGGGAATGAGATACAAAGACTGCCATGAAGAAAAAGAAACATTGTTAAGAAGGTGGTTTTGACACAAGAGAGGATGAGACTGTGCAGGCAGCCACATGAAAAAAAAGTGCATCTTTAAATCCACTGCAATCCGCACTCAACTCCTGTCAGCATTCTATTTCTGCTCACAGATGCAACTTCTTGTTTTTAACCACCCTCTCCACTCTACTCCAACACTTCCATAAGGCTCCTATGACCACTCTTGGCATGCTTTAAGGATGAAAGAGACAAACTAAGAACCATAATAGATTTGCCTTTGATGTTTGCAGACACTGTTTCACATGACCTCTCCCAGAATCCTTCCCAAAACCACAAATGGAAATAGGGACCTAAGAACCGGGCAGAGGGGGAATACACAAACAAAACAAACAAAAAAAAAAAACCAAACACCTCCAAAACTGACAGAAGTTCTAATGAGAAGAAAGGTACAATGTATATTTGCTCAAATATAAAGAATAAAAACATCAAGAGACTTCACAATGCAAACTCTGAGGATGGTATCAATGAGCTCTTATGAGATCAAGTCAGGCTTTTAACCAAGTTCTAACTGGACCATCACCTTGGTCAACATATTCAAAAGCTGTCACAATACTCAACACCACCTATACAGGTGAATTTTCAAACACTGTCAAATAAGCTCATCAGTTTTATCAAGGCATTGTGTCTCCAGAATAAAAAGGGAAATCCAGCGTGGTCTCATAACACGAATTGTTGTTGATGGTATCAGCATTCTGCCACAAACATTTATGTTGAATTCATATGAAGTGTGGGGAGCTTGGCTGACATAAAAATAACTCAGAAATATTGCCCCACCCCAAAGAATAAAACCTTCCAATATTTAATTAATAATGTTTTAAGGAAATCACTGAGGAACAGGAACATGGAGAAAACCATCCTGAGGCCACTTGAATCTGACTTATTGGCAAGATCCTTCTGCTCCATAGAGGAAAAGGCATGCATTAAGTTTTTTCTTAGTGAGCTTCTCAATTCCTTCTCAGAGGAAGCTAAATGTAGTCAGCCCAATATGCTGAACCAGCAATTGCAGGCCATGCTCTAAAAATATCGAGGTAAGAGAAATATTGTCTTCTCTACTCTGTACCTGCAGTAGGATGTATGATATTCATATATTAGGTATCAGAAAAGAAAGATACAATAGGATTAATGTTGTTTCACTGTGTCTTGTTATACATATTAAGTAATTAAGATACATTGAAGAGTTTGCATTCTAAAAGGACAAATCAAGAAGATTTTGAGGAAAAACAAGGGGTTTATGGAGCTTGATTACTCCAAATAAGGGGTAAACCTATTCCTGAACAACAATCTAAAGATTGATTAAAGTATTGATGGCACCAATGGGAAATATGTCACCTGAGTTTTGACATTCGGATTATGTGAAGAGATAATATACATAGCTTTGTGAAATTTCATATACGTCAGTTCCCAAGGATTGACCAAGCTGGCGTCTTCACTGCCTGTATCACCTACTCCAGCTTGGGGACACAAGCTATGGCCTGCAGACTCAGGAGAGGGATAATGCTTTCTCTCCTACTAAGAAGTATCCCATGTTATCACAGATTATATTCAGGCAATCTGAATTTTACTCTGTGTGGAAAAAAAAAGCTTAACTGGTTTATACAGAGATCACTTTTAAGCATTCCTGAAGTAGCAAAAATGAAATCTCAAGAACAGCAAAAGCTTTTTCTTTCCTGTTTTTCAGAATTGGTGAGAACTAGCAAGGTCATTGCTCCCCATTGCTTATGTTTGTCACAGCATACACCATGTAGCATCCAGATGAGAAGCAAAGCCCATCACCAGTGCGAATCAACAAAACCGAAATCCCTCACCCATCATTGTGAATGCAAGCAACCTTGGACCAAGAGCATCACCTCACGCTGTTGTCACACCTCTTCTCCTAATGGCAGTACAAGTGAGAGCGGAAAAGTTACCTGGTTGTTTCCACCACAGTAACTGCCTTTTGGAAAACTAACAGAGAAAAAAAATAAAGGGATTACATTCAGAAACAGATAGACAGGAGGGAACCTTCAGAGTGGAGCAATCAGAATGATCTTTGCACAGCCCCATGGCACCATTAAAAAAACCTTCCAACAGCAAACAGATTTTTTTAAAAATCAGGTGAATAATTTGATGTCTGATATTAAAATACAGGCTGTCAGTTTGATGAAGGCTGTGGAAAAGTTAACTGCAAAAGCTATTTCACATCCTGACAGAAAAATATTAACAACAGTTTTTCCTCTTGTCTTCTTTACATAAGATAATTGTAACATGGGCAAAATGGTGATGTAAAAAGAAAGCACTATCTTGACTCCAGTTTTGGCTACAAGAATGAAACGATTTTATAGACTTCTGATAGCAATAAAAAAAATTAAGAGTTTAGAACAAGCACAATGGAAATATCTTTACTTCCTTTAGAAGTATACAAATTCATTAAAGCATTATAAAGCAACTGTGCATGTCAACCGTGAAGTTCAAAAATGTAATAATACATCGATTTGTAAAATATATCTAGTTTGTGCTAGTCAGTTGGCAGCAACTACTGAAGTTACAAGTTGCCAGTAACTTTTAACCTAATGAAACAAGATATTCTGAATACTATCCTGGGTTTTGACTGTTCAGTAGATGGCATTTTAAATGCCATGGCATTCTAATCTACCACAGATTCAGATGTTTCAATACATGTGGGAACCAAAATTAACAAAATTAATGGAGCAATTAACAACTCATTCAACTGCTGAGAAACAAAGTGTAGAAACTATTGCTGCCTTGAAGCAGTCAAGCTTCTAGTTGCTCAAAAAATTCTTAAACTACTTGACATTGTAACAGAGAACAAAAGAGGACACGAAGAACACCACATCAAGCAGGGAAAGAAACCATAGTCAGTGTATTGCATCACCTAGAATTTCAAAAGGTGTTCAAACCCATAGTTCACACTATCTCTAAACACAGTTCATATACTAAAACATCACTGATCTGAAAGGGAATATCCACCATTGACAAAGTTCTCATCCCAGTTATCTCTCCCCAAAGGTGCTGGAGTCATGGACAATCCTGTCTACTGCTCTCCCTTCTGAATTAGACACAATTGTTCATCAGTAGGAAAAATATTTCTTTCCCTCATGGTACACATTCTTGTTGGTTATCAAGCCCACTTTAATGATGTCACTTCTGGCTGCTCCTGCAAGATGCCATTGTTTTCCCTGGTCTGTGCTGGGCAGACTGGGCCCACAGCAGTTCACAGAGATCACTTTGCAGCCTCAGTCCTTGCTCATTCATACCTGTCTGCCCTGAGTCATTATGATGTAACACCTTCAACAGCTGCTCTATTAAACATGACTCCCACATCCTGACCAGGATCATGTTTGCTTCCTCTGTCCTCAGCCTGCATTTCTCAATTCTGTGTTTCTTGAAGCCAGGGGATGCAAAGTATGTCAGCATGAAGCCCCAGTGGTACTACAACTACTGCCTGGGCTTTCTACAGGTAATGTATTTGCCTATGAGAATGAAGATGGGCAAAATATGAGGGATACCCTTGCTACCTCTGCGAATTCCTCAAGAGATATTTGCTCCAAAACAAAATTGTCTGTTTATTGGACAGGACCAACAAACCATAATTTTCTGTATTTTTAGCTCTCTTAATGTGCTTGCTCTACAGACAAGGGGAAGAAAATGCCCTGGTCAGAGTTCCTGAGCACCTTGTTGGTGAGGGTAAGCTCAATCTACACAGTCCTGGGAACTACACTACAGGGAAAAATCATTCCCCTGTAGGCAGCTAGTCTGAGTGATGCACCACAGATATATATCAATCCAAGCACCTCATGTATCCCAGGAAAAGCTCAGCAGAATATGCCCTGATGTTTTACTGTACGCAATCTGTGTAGACATCCTATATCTGCATATATCTATAGATACTGAATCATCATTCTTCATAAGCATCAGCAGAGAAGCCTGCAATCCTGGGAAATTACCAAGGAATACTACCTGACTATACTATTATGGAGTTCAGTCTTCTCAAACCTGAAGCACTGAGGTTTGATGAGTGAGTGATTTCTTTTTTTTTTTTTCTGGGGGGGTGGGTGTTCTTTGTTAAGGGTTTTTTTGTTTGGTTTGGTTTGGTTTTGGTTTTGTTTGTTTGGCAGGATGATATGAAAGGAATTCTTCCTAATTGCACTTCACAGAATGAATTTGTGATTTGATCCACATCTGCCAAAAAGGAGAAATGGAGGTGCAGTGGCTGGCTTATTGGTATGACCATGCATCTAGGATGCAGCATGCATCATGTTCCAGGTCAAAGCAATTAAGATGACACAGACTATGGCAGGGATTCCTGAGCTGCCGCAAGCCCAGGCAATGGTCCATAGCAGCTCATAGCTGAGATGGGCTAGCCCAGGTCTTGAAAGTTTGTAGGCTGGGGCCAGAACTGGGCTACAGCTCCAGGTTCTCCTGCTGATCAAGTGTTCTGGACCTACCAGCATGTCCAGGAAAATAAGAACACCAGAAAAGTTGGCCCATTGTCAATTAAAATTGCAAGACATTCTGACACATTTTCTAATGAGTAATTTTTAAGCAGTTCTAGAACATTCCTTTTACATCTACAAGGAAAATGTTCCAGTGGAGGTAATCATCCACTACTTTGCTGGTGATAGTGGGCAGAAACCTTTCCACCAGAAAATGCCATTCAATTTGGATTCCCACACATGCAGCTGCACAGGCAGGTTTTCTGCTCTTTGTTTTGACCAGCCAGGATGACACTGGGCAGGGAGATTATTGTGATTACCTCCTTTAAGTAGCAAGGAAGTGCAAAATACCCAGCCATTCTCCAGCTCAAATTTACTGTTGCTCTGCTCCTGCTCCTCGGTGCTGGCCTCCTGTCATCCCCCACGGTCCCTTGCTGGGGGTACCACAGTTCGTGCCCAGTGACAAGCACCTTGCTGTGTCACTTCATAGCTGTCTTGCATCTTTCTCTATAGCTACAGCTTAAAGACTTTTATCACCATGAGTACAAAATCTGAGCTCTGAAATATTCAACAGTGAGACCTAATGCTCTGACCTGATCTTAAGCATCCTATTCCTTGTGTCCTGACCCACTGTCACCTCACCCCTGTTGTAAATAGTGCAGGGTCATGCTGTGAACTATAACATACATCTTATTGTCTATACCGTCTGGAGAATACATAACACTGGGAAATAGAAGGAATGCGCGTAGTGACTGCTCTGTGTAAGCTCAAACCTCAAATAAAAATTAGGGATAATCTCCTAGAGCTTGAATTAATCTGGAGTCATCATTACTTACAGCAGAAACACTTGGCAGTCCTCCCGAGCATCTTTCGTAATACAACAGCACCTACCCATGCCCTGGGGATTTCTCTCTTCCCAGACTTCACACAAGTCTCCTTGCCCACACTTTCTGCATTTGTTGTTGCAGTCCTTGAAGAAAAGCCAGTTTCTTCTTTTTTCATCCTAGTATTTGGTCAAATGTTGGAACAGATTTTTTTTTTTTCCCCTCAAGCCCATTTTTTACACTTCTTGGAAGTTTGATGACATGGGCCTCGAGACCCTGTAATGGGAAAGTTACAGTGGTATTACAGGACAGAAAAAGCTACTGACTCATGGATTACAGTGACACACATTTTCATTTGATAAGCTGTCAAACATTTTATGCCAGAAGTAGCTGTAACATTTTTAAAGCAACAATAGAGGCATGGCATGAAATGTTCCACTGCAGTTCTCAGGACTTGGCCCTGCCTGTCTTCCCAAGCAGTCAGCCATACCCACACTGCTTGTTTCACAGGTGTCACAACTGTTGCAGATTATTACTTCGGAAGCAGCACACAATCAGGACTCTTAAGAAGAATCATGTATCCAAATTGGATCTAATTGGTCTCAATTATGACCTGATTTTCAGCCAGCAAAGCACAGCATCATTTTGCAGCTAGTCAACTAGCAGCTAAGCCTGCCTTCACAACGCCTGGAGTCATTTGCAAAGGTCCAGCTCTAACAGAAAAGTTCTCCTGCCACCTAGTGTCCATAGACATGTTGCCAAGCAGTTGCTGTTGCAACTGAGGACAGTGTTGCAATTGAGGACAGTGAAACAGCATGCTTTGTCACACGAACGTGCAGAATGATGGGGGAAATCCTTTTAATACAAAAGATCTTCTCTTGAAGAGATGTGGAGCAGATCATGTGGAGATGTGCCTCCAGTCATCCAAAGAAAGCAAGGAAGTCCAGTCTTTGCATAGATCTGGATTGTTTTCTGCACACCTGTGATTCATAGGTAATATGCAATGATTATCTTATACTTCATGATGTTATCTTTCCTTCAGTGAAGTGAAAGAAATTTCAGCGCTTGACATTAATTAGCCTAATGTCAAGGATAAAGGTGATACTTTTTTAAAGTCAATAGCAGCTGTATGTAGTGTCCCTTTTCACAAGGCAGAGATAAACTCAGCATAAATCTCCATTAGGAATGTCTCACACATCCCTGAAATCACAACTCTGGCAGTTGCACCAGCCAGCACTCTTGTGGCAGCTAAGAGCTGGCAAAAAATAGTAATCTCATTGCAATTTGTTCTATATCCCTCATCTCAGCCACACCTGTGATATAATGAAAGAGTTATGTCTAGCCCATACTTGCATCCTCTTTCATCCCAAACAGCAACCTGCCCTGCGAGGATATACAGCTTTCCTGGTGATGCTGAGTCTTGCTGTATCTCCAGCTGCAGCTGAAAAAGAACAGCTTCCATAGGCTGTGACACTGGCAGAACGCAGGTCTGCTGCATGCTATGCAGTCACAGAAGGCATTTGTCACCTGTCTCCATTTCTCCTGCACTCTCCACAGTGCTGGCCCTGCAAGCAGATGGCAGAGCTGCAGAGTACAACTCTGACACCCACATATGCACCAGACCAAGTTTCACCAAAATGAGGCAATGCACACACTGCTGTGGGACCCACAAAAGCAGCTCACTCTGCCAAGGATGTGGGACAGTCCCAACAGGGCACCATGTCACTTGTCACTGCCAATGCACACTTTGATTGCATGTGTGGCAGCAGCAAACATCTTGTAAATTGAATATTCCTCCTGAACTGCCTCTGCACACTGATTGCTCAAGTGGTCCAGAACCAGGCACCAGAATCAACTGGATATGAGCGCTGAGAGAAGTAATTTATTTTCAGCATTAGACATTATGAAGTTTAACTGCAATACCACAGTACTGCTGCTAGAACAGTATGTAAATGTTCTTCTTTTGAATCTGCAACACAATGGCAGAATGAGGGGTTTAAGTATGACTTAATACAGGCTGTTATTATGTAATATATCAGAAACCATTCAATTTGGTGTCTTAAATGGGTTTTAAAAATAGTTTCTAGACTGGTTGCAATTCTGTCTTTGCCCAAGCAAAGGAAGACTGTTAGCAAAATAGCAAGGAATTACAGGGGTTTGCTGCTGCAGCTGTTTGGTTTTTAAGGCACTGCCTTGAACGTATCACTTACAGTGCTAAATCACTTTCTTCACATACCATGAATGAATACAAACTTCCAATTTTCTTTCTGTTTACCTAAGAGTAATATTCTGAATTTGAACAGCATTTCAGTTGACAACTGACATATACATTTAATGTGGAATAAGACACTTCGGGCATTCATCATTTCAGGAAGGCTAAGCTAAAGGAAAAAGTTAGCAAACTTGAAGAATAAGTACACAAGCTGTTCAAAAATGAACTCCAGAATTATTTTCTAATTTTCCTGACCATCAGCAATAACGGTTCAGAACCTCCTGTGAGATTCCACCAGTGGCACAATAATCTCTACCATTTTTAAGATGGTACTTGGAAAGCTTTTGAAGGTTATGACTCTAAACAGTCCTAGGCTGGAATCAAGAAAATCCCTTCCAATCTCACATTTATGAGCCTGTCACATCCTACCCCACACCTATGCAACACTGAACAGCAAAGACAATACATTTCCCAAAAGCTGGGAGCCTGTATTTTCTTAAAGATGGGCATTGACAATTTAAGGCCGTTTATAAAAATATTGCTGAGACCCATGAGTCCTGAGGTTGGTGTGGGACCTCCAGCACCTCCCTGTGCTGATAGCTTTTACCTTCCCACTGGGCATCTGCAAGCGCTGCTTCTCCAGCCCCCTCTGCAGCACTCCAAGCCCCATCACTGACTGTTCCATTCGCTTCCCGTGTCACTGCCATGCTGAGAACAAGGCCCACCTCTGCACAGGCTGAACTGGGACATCACTGCTGCAGCTTCTGCTTTCCCTCAGGATACCTCACAGATGCGTAGGAGCTATTTTAAGCTTCTTCCCCCACCTCAGCCATTATCTCAAGGCAGAAAGCAGCAGCACAGCTGGACCTCATGGCATGATTTGGCCAGGCCAGAGCAATGGTGTGGCCAACACCCCTGTTTGCATGGCCACCTCCCAGCTGGGGGCTAAACACTGGCTGTCACAACAGGTTCACGTCACATTTCTGTTATCCAAAAGGCCATTTTCCTTCCACAATCTTTTGCCCAAAACATTTTATTGCCACTAGCAACAAAGCAGTATCTATTCACACAAAATACAGGTACTGCTAAGCTGAAAAAAACCTCCCAGCCCCTTAGATCTCAGAGTAATTAGTATGTAGACATGGAAATTCTTAATAACATGCTAACTGTTGTTGGAAAGGTAATTTGTGGGAGTTCTTGAGCTCACTGGTTGGCATTGTTGAAAAGACAAAAAAAAGTTTAAAGCCTTTCTTTGCACACCACCCAATTTTTTATGCACTACATCAGCTAGAAGTAGAGCCAAACTGAAAAAAATCTGCCATTTTATGCACCATGGAAACAAGAAACCTGTTAATCTGCAATTACCTATTCTACATCCATTTGAGATCAATTTCTGCTGTGGGAGTATAGCCAACAGGTTCAGATCTACAACCTGTGTTTGTCATGGGAGATTGACATTGATTACTTTTTGTTTCATTCTCAAATAAATACAAATATTAAAACATAAATCAGATTGATGTCAGGGTGCATGTTAAACTGCATTACAGTCTAATAAAGACTATAAACTTTACTCCTAATGTAATTTCTTACAGCAATGTCAACAACAGGATATAAAAATATTCAAAGCGTTCATCTGTGATAAATGTGATAAAACAGCACACTGATTTCCTAAGTAATCTCATATATTCAGATTTTCTTCTAGAGCTGAAATACTTCTTGCTTGAGTCCTATGAAAGCTACTTATTCATAACAGCTCATACTAATTTCATGTTTTTTCCCCATAAATTAAACACTGCCACTTTTTAAATTAGAGAAAATTTGTCTGATAGACTACTTTAGCCTGAAGGTTTATTGCATTCAATTCAGAGCTTCTGTACCTTTCAAATGCTGGTGCTCATTTGTGAAACTCTCAAAAATACATTTTAAAATTCTCAGTATAAGAAGTTCTTAAAAGAACTCACATGCTTCAACATCATGTTCATCACCCCTTTCAGTGGGATTCCCCAAAGTCGTGCACAGCTTAAGTGCTTTTCTGTGTTGGGTTTGAAACTTTCATGTTAATTAAGTGTGCTCCAAGCAGAATTAATGGTTATGACTGCCTACAGTGCTCACAGCAGCTACAAGGCTCTCTCAGCTTCGACTCAAACCATTAAAACAGAATGAGTAGTAATAGCACATTTTCAGTATCTCTAGCACTACAAAAGGCAGGCAAAGCCAGGTGAGGTGATGTGGACAGGAAGGTTTAGATCCTCCTTCCAGGCACAAGATTCAGCAGGGAAGGTGATACAGGCATAACTCTGCTTCTTCAAAAGAGGGTAGTAGTTGAATGCATAATTAGTTCCCCCCAAATGTTACCTCCAGTATCTCTGATTTCACCAGTATGCCAGGCATCAAACTGGGGCAGGCAAAGAGCAGACATACATGTATGACTGAACACACTGTTACTGTTTTTACATACTAAAATAGGAGTGAAAACTCTTTCCCAAAATCCACATGACAGTGCGTCTTCATCCATGGTGCGCAGACGCCTGATTACAAATTTTGTGACGCCTGATTACAAATTGCTACCTAGAACAACTACTAATCATTTACCAGAGAAAACCATCATTGCTGAACAGTTACTCTCCATAGGTCTTCACAGGAGAATCAAACAATTTTCTGGGGACAGATATTATCCACAACCAGGTATTTGGTTCCATACAGATGTAAGTGGGTGAAGCAGCAGCTCAGACTATTCAATATACTTCCCTTTGGATTAAAATTCATGACTTATTAATGGCATTTAAAATATGCACTATCTGGCACAAAGAATATGGTCTTTGAAAAACTCTAATACTGATCAATTACATAACATTTCGATAATGATACAGGAGCACTGAAGCGTTTTCTCCTTTATGTACTTTCATGTGATTTCTTAAATCCCAGATGGAGAATAATTTGTCTTCAGTCTAGTTCTACTTGAGGCAGTACCAGTATGACATTTTGCTTTCAGGTTCTAGCAACATCAGTATTGAGATCAGAGGTATTAAAACTTAGAAAATCTGACATGTTATGTCAAATTACAAAGACAGTATCTGAGAGCAAATGGAAGAACAGACAGAGTGAATTAAGTAGCAGAAAAGGGGAAAGAAACAGAATGATAGGAAGGAAGATAGGGACAAATGTACAAATGTGAAAGATTAAACAAACATTCTAGTGTAATCAGATGGGTGTGAAGAAAAAACATTAAACATTGTTGAAAGCACAGCTGTAGGGATATAAATTCAGACATAAATTCATACATACTGCATGGGCATGGTCCCATTAACACTTATGCACATAAAAGATTTTTTTTGCAACATTTGCATAAGCTAGAGGATAATACTCATGTGAGTAACATGTACAAAAGGTAGCAGGATTTGGCCTCTCACTGTTTTTCCTTGTGTATATCATGTATATCTGAAAAACATTTAAGCAGGCATTTCAACTTTGAAGAAGACTGAACTTGGAAATAATAGGACCTAAGGGAAACCTTTCCAGGAAAGCTGGTGGAATTGTAGTTCTGCAAAGCACTGAGAGGAATACCCTAAGGACTAATTATTTGACAATACAACTAATGGTATTACTTTGAAGCATAATAACGTTAAACCTGCAGCTTGCGTAGATGTGGAGTACTTGCTGAAGGGAAGCACAATCGATGTGCGAATCCAGCATCGGAGAATCCTAATTAACCCTCTAACTGCTATCAGCAGGAAGGCTAATAGCAATTCTGAAATGGTATAAGTGACTTAATCCTAAGGGATTGCTTCTGTTAATGAGACACTGACTGTTAGCTCTCCTCAGCCGTGTTTACAGCAATGAGGCATCTTTATAAGGCAATAAACAACAGTTTTGCCTAATAGCAGGCACTCGTGAGTGACAGAAGTTACTGTCCGAGTGACACAAGTTTTTGTCCTCATCCTACAGATAAGAAACTAAAGTCCAGTATGCCACTTCCCATGATCCACTGGTTGGGCCGGGGATGGAGTTTATGGGTCAAGGTCGTTTAGGATGACACTACAATTCTTCTCTAGAAGATGATATCTGATGCTCTACTGGGAATAGTTTTACAGAATAGTTTTACAGAATGTTAAAAAACATGAAGCATAAAAAACCCTCACGGGAGTCTGTCTTTAGTAATACAATAATTAAACTTCTTACAAAGTATTCTCATTTTGAAACTACAAAAAGAAAGGCATCAGAAGTCTTTAATCGAGCAATCAAAAACCCATGACCTTTCTTCTCCTAGAGTTTCTGGCTGTGGCTTGACAAAATGGCAAAAATCTCAATATTATACATATATAAGGAGCCAGGCTTCCCAATATTACTTCCCTCATCTCAGATGGTTCGGCAGACTTCTAGGCTGTTATACTATCATTTCTATCCTCCTCTGCCAGTACTGTGCCTCAGGTTCATTTGCACCACTAGAAAGATGTAAAAGATAGGCTTCCACAAGATTAAACAAAAATTTTTAAAATATTTAAAAAAACACCTTGAGAGCAGTCGTCAAGGAAGCTACATGTCTTACTGTTTAATTTCTTCAAGATATCTATGTTGCAAAGTGCAACTTTGTACTTCTACAAAAATCAGTCATTTAGCACCATCCACTGCAACTGTTTACACGAGACTTTTCTACAACATGCATTGTTTCCTAAAAATATTAAATAATCCATTGATTATATTATTTCAACTGCAATGTTCAGACTTTGCAAACTACTGAAACACACACAGGTTTAGTTACAAACAGGATGGATTTCAGAAGTCACAATATTGCAGGCTTTACAGAAAATATGTTTTCCTTGAAATGATACTTGAATATCCTTGAAGAAGGAACTACCTCTAGCCTATAAAATAGAATTTCTGGCAACACTCCCTAAAGTAGAACACAGTGGCCTCTAGAAATAAGCCATGGTGCTATCAGCAGCACAGATTACTTTTTTCTGGCAGAGCGCGCCCAATGCATCCAGAAACTACTGCGAAGGGCCACAATCAGCCAGCAGCAGGTTCAGCCATCCCAGCTGCCCTGGCAGCCACCCCGTGCCATGACAAGGGAGTCAGCTTTGTCACTGTTATGAACAAAACAGCCTGGCTGGGACACTTGGCTTGGGCTAAGTACTGACATTGAAATGTTAATTAGCTAATTGCTCCTGGGAATCACCTACAACCCCACTCACACTAGGACCTGGATGCAAAATAATCCAGTGGAATCATGGGAGGGGGTTTTAGGGATGAAAAACACCCTTAAAATGAAAGGCTGGGCACAGTGAAGGGGGCTGGATGGGTGTGCTGGTTATGGAAAAGGGAACCACATCTCTAGTCTGTGTTTGACCGGTCACCATAACCTGCAGAGGACCAGACTGGACTGGGCTGTGGGAAGCAGGAGAAAAGTAGACACACTTCCTGGTGTTACTAGGAGGGAAGAAGAGCCATAACTGCTGCTGGCCTTCGGCAGCAGGCTCTGCACATCCTCTCACCCTTCGGCTACCAGTATGCCACGAGAAAAGGAGAGAGGACAGTCTGCTGGTACTACAGATGCAGACTTTGCACCTCAGTCACCTCCAGCTACCAGTGCGCCACGGAGACTCCAGGGGGTGTGAGCTCCTTATCGAGCCCCCTGCCGAGCTGACCTTATAATAAAGAGCTGACTATTAATAAAGGCATAGACCCTGTTCATTTCAGTCACCAGCCTTGTCACCATCCACCGTGTGTGGTGGTAACACCAAAAGGCTGCCAGCACCAAGAGGCAGCTGGTGGCACCCCTGTGGCAGGAAGTGCTGCAGAGCAGCCCCTGCCCTGAGGCAGAGGCAGTGGTGTGGACACCCTGAACGGGATAGGAAGTCAGGGAGAGTATTTTGTTTGTGTAAATATGCACATGAGTGTGCTTTCATATACACGTATACACACGCTCATGCACAATGTGTACGAACAGATAGCTGCACGTACATATCTAAAATCACATAATGAGCTGAGCAGGAAGGAACAAGGATCATTGAGTCCAACTCCTGGCCCCGTGCAGGATCGCACCAAGGGCCTGAGAGCGCTGTCCCAGCACTTCTTGAGCTCTGTCAGCCTGGTGCTGTGACCACTCCCCTGAGGAGCCTGTTCCAGTGCCCAGCCACTCTCTGCACGAAGAATTCTCGTGATACACAACCTAAACCTTCTCGTGATACACAACCTAAACCTACCTTGGCACAACCTCAGGCCATTCCCTCGGCTCCTGTCACTGGCCGCCAGAGGAAAGGTATCGCTGTCTGCCCTTCCTCTTCCCCTCGTGAGGATGTCGAAGACCGAAATACAAACACACACACGCACAAACCCGTCTGTGTCTGTGTCTGTGTGTGCGTGTGTATGTATGCACTTCAGTATGTATATACGTGTCTGTGTCCCCCGGTGCGCCTCCCCCAGCACCAGCTCCGGCCAGAGCTCCCCGCAACGCCGCCCCTCCCGAGCCCGAGCCCTGAGGCGGGCGGGCCTCACTCGGTGGCGCCCGGCACCCGGTCCGTCCGCACACCCGCCATGGGGGAGCCCGGGCCCGGCCTTACCCCGGCCCTTCTCCTGCTCCGCCATGGCCGCGGCGCCGCGCTGTCGCCATGGCGACGCGGCCTGCCCGGGCCCTCTTCTCGCACCGCCGGGCTGAGCGGGGGAACGCGTCCCGGCCCTTCGTACCGCACCCTCCGCCCTTCCAGACAGCGATCCAGCCAACCCTTCAACCTGCCGCTGCAAAGGACTCCCGTTTCTCTTAAAAATACAGCTTTCCCCAGCGATTGCGGAGATTTCCTTGTGTCTGAGCTTTAGAAAGTGAAAGAACGTTTTATTCTAAATGCCATCACGCCAAAACAGCTAAAATAGTCTGTCTTAGTGATATTAAATAAAACTCTGCGGTTTAAATTTAGCTGTGAGTTTTAGCAGACAGGCTTGCGATGCCTGGTTCTTCTGACTCTAAAACAACTGTGAAAGTAGAAAAAATTACAAATATTAATATTCTGGCAAGATGCAACCATATATTCCTAAAAAATAAATATTTATGAAATTCCTAGAGCTAAAACCTTGTCCTCACTACAGCAGGTGCTTGTTTGTCAGAGGTTCAGTTTTGCAAAGCCCACGTGGATGGCTCCTCCTCACACACTCAATTTCACCTCTCAGACAAAGAGTTAATGATGTTCTCAATATTCATGAAGCCTGAAATTCACAAAAACACGGGGAGCACAAACAGGGCTTCTTTGTTTAAAAAAACAATCAATTTTCAATAATATTTTAACATTTGCTATTTGTCTTTCAGCCACTTATTTTTGCATTTTTTATTGAACATGGCTCAGAGTAAAGAGGATATAATAGATACCCAAGAGACTACATCTTTATTCTGTTGGGAAAACAGCTGATTATGCTCTCTAACAAAGTTGATCCCTTTGAAAGGTTACCTACCAACTTGAACAGTTTATTAAAGTAACTAAATATTTTAAACTACATGTTTGACTACAGGAGTACAGATTTGTTTCCTCTCAAATTGCTAACAGAAATTTTAGTGAGAATAGCATGGCAGACTAGTTTAGAGGATGCAGCAGCAAAAAAAAAAAACAAACTTTATCTTTCAGTCTTACAGGGGTCCTATTTCTTATTCCTTTAACCACTCCACATAGAAAACTTGTCTTTCCTGATTGTACATCTATAATGGTGAGTCAGTCACATGTTTGAAGCTGAAGAAAATTGCAAAATACATTGTTTTGGCAAGGATGGACCTCTCTTATCTCTTCCTTCACCTACCCCAAATGTAGAATTTCATGTTCTTGAATACTGTGCCCAGCATTAGATTTCTTTTATTATTTTCCAGATCATTCATCATAGGATATTTATAGATCTTCTACAAATGCAACACTAATTTAAAGTATTTAATACAGATCCCTAAAAAACCTTAATAAAATCCTGTTCCTGTTATTTGAGTTTTCATGACAAATCCATGCCCAAAATATGAAAAACTCTTAGTTTTAAAAGAAATACAATATTGCATATTGCATATTTATTGAGATTATTGCATGTTCATAGTAGATTTTGAATGGAAGTGAGTCACTGCAACTGTGACATGGTAAGACAGTAACTGCATTTGGGCATCCTCTTCTAACATCTTCCCAGCAGTTTCTCCAGGGCTTGCATTTGGCTTTCCTCATAACTCCTTCCTCTTTGACAGGCACTAATCTTTGTTTCCTCCAAGAGGGATGGTAAGAAAAGCAGTGTGTAAATGCTGATGAAGAAAGGGGAAATCGTGAAGTGTACACAGCTATGACATGTCATTTACATCACAACATCTACATCCTGTTGCAGCCACTGACTGGCCCTCATGAGCTGCTAGAATAGCTCCTTGGGGAAAGTGTTGTTGGGAGTATAGAACTGCTCAAATCCTGGATGTTCATATCAAACTTGTTAAGTTTTACTACTTTAGCCTAGCTCCAGAATCTTCAATGTCTCAGAACTCATACCAATTTCAGCAAACAGCATTTTGCACTGTCCTGCCTGTGCTGTTGAGATTCCACTCAGGACAATTACTGTAAATCAAAGTGCTTCATTTGCATTGTCCACTCTAACCTGGAGTTTCCTTTTACTTCCATTAGTTTGCAGCCAAACGTCCTTATTCTCCCAATTTCTAGCACATCAGGCTTTGGTGTCATTCCTGTCTACAGAAGCAGAACAAAATACTGAGTGAGAAAGCAGTTCAAAATGAGAACTCACTGCTTTAAAATTTCCTGGCAATGTATCTTGAAAAATCTGTGTAGGGAAAAAATATTAACAATTATAATGCAGATCAAATACCTGATACACGGACCTGAACCATATAGCTGTTTCCCTTTTAAGTTAATGCACAGATACCTCAAACCAAGGGTATGAGTGGGCTGAAACAACTAATCACATTTTGGCACAGACAAGTACAAAATGAAACCCAGAACTACTAATTCAACAGCTTGAAATATCAGCTGCTGCATGCAAGATCTTTACAGAGCTCCTCTGAAGAGAACATACCCTTTTAAAATTGTGATTCTTCATTTTAAAAATGTCAGAAGATATCTCAGGAAAATTATCAAATAATCCAGCATCATTGATATAAAGCGTGAATCCACTGAAGTCTCATAGACATAAGGTTCCCTTACCTCCACTCCTAATTTCATCCCATACATTCCTCTCAGCTATCAGGGTCCTATCACACATTTTGCATATTTTCCATGCATATGTTCAGAAATGTTATTAAAAAAAAAAAAAAAAAAAAAAAAAAAAATACAGGTCTAAAATGGAAGAAGTCACGTTAAGAGAGAGCAGTTCAAGGAGATATAATAACAAAAAGCTACAAAGCTGTGTCCCCCCATGGCTTCACGGCTGCAAGCATCTCAACACATCTTTGCTCCAAACATTTGCCAAAGATCTTCACTACAGGACTCCCTCTGTGGGTTCTTGAGGACTATATAAGTGAAGGCACAAAGAAGCCTATTCATTTGTCCTTCACAGAGAAAGTAGGTGGATAATTATGATTTTGTGGCAGGACTCTTACCTATAGCTCCTCTGCAGCTAAAGGGGTACAGCTGTGCTGTTCAGCAGGCATTTCCATGTCACTGTACCCTTTTTCACCAATGTGACATGAATGACCCAAGTGTACCTTCATTCCATTCTTCCTCTGGGATGAGCAGCAGATTTCAGTGACTCAAAAACAGACTCTTCAAAACAGAGTATTAGCTAAACACTAGCTGTTCACGCAAATGATACACAGTAACCAGATAAAAATGAGAAAAAGACTCTGTCGTTCCTTGTCTATACTGTATCTTTCCCTACAGAATTTAGATAAATTACATTTGAGAGCACTACCTCGTTTCATGTGTAGGAGGGGAAGACAGTTTCTCCTCCGGCTTGTTCTCTTTGTAACTGCAGGCTTTGATCCCATGCTTGGAGCAGATGAAGAGAAGCCTAACAAAGCGGGCAGAGACAGATATACAGGCATGCCCTCTATTATTTCCTGACCTCTTCCAAGCTGCTGGTATATTTATATTAACCTTATCTGTCATAATTTTGCTTTCTTTAAAAAAAATAATTCTTCCTGTTCTGACCTACAGAACAGCAAAAAGTTCATAAATTGTACATAAAAGTGCATAAATTGGCATAATTTGCTGTACTTTTTATACAGGTAATAAACCTAGAAGCCCAAAATCTGACCTCTTAAATAAAATGTCAGCATATGATTCCTTGACACATACGGAGTTCACCAGTGCTGAAAGGAGAGGATCCAAGTCTTGCTCTTCCTTCCTTCCTGCTGGCTGCACATCTTCCTTCTACCTTGTGCTGGCTCTGCCATTCAAGAGAGCAAATATGAGTTACAGAGGTAGTAAAAATACAATCCATCAAAAAGTGAATAGTGTTCTGCCCTCTTAAGAAACCCAGAAAAGGATCTGACAAGCATCTTGATCTGCACATCCAGTGTTGTATTGTGTTTTCCCGCCTTTCCCTCAGTGCCAATCTCCCTGAAAATGCTCGGTCACTTCCCCGTCCCCTCCCTGGCACTCGGCTCCCCATCCCATTCTTTCAGAATCTTCTACCCTGGGCATCGAGGGATTGGATGAGGGCCCGGGGTCCCTCCCTTAAGTTTCCTCCATTGGTTTTTGTATCTGTCTATCCTTTCACCTTTCACTTCCCCCAAATTCCCCCATTGGTCAATGGGCGTTCCCTTCCCCTTGTTACCGCCCCGGTATTTAAGATGTTGCAAAAGCCTCGAGGCCACTTTTGTCTGCTGGATACTCTGTGCTTCCGAGCTCCCCGGAGCCTGGATTAAAACCGAAACTCTTTCCCAGCCTTGAGTCGACTCCCCCAAACAAGGCAGACAGTGTAACTTTCTCTCTTAGCCGCTCCCCGACCCTCCTCGAGATCCATGGGGGGTGACCCCGGCTGCTGACTGTGCCTCTGCCGGGCACGTGAAACCAGGGGGCTTCAGATTAGCACAGCGGCAATCCAGGAAGATGGACCCTGCAATTAGAAGCGAGGAAGAAATAGAGGGGAAGGCAGGAAGGGTGAGATGTTTTTTTGGAGGGAAAAAGCTCAGAGGCTGTCTGAGTCCATAAGTAAAGTGTTGAAGGAAGAAAGAGGGAAAATCAGGTTTGAAGGCTGCTGATAATAGCAGCATCTCAAACCCTTCTCAACCCATGGGATGGCTTTGGAACTGTCCTGGCAAATATCTCTTACTGCTCACGAACAGCTACAGTCCTATGGATCTTTAGCTCCTCCTGTCCAGCTTCAACAAAGCTGCATTTGAAGAAAAGTGACTGAACATACATTAAAAATGAGTTGCTAGGAGAAAGGAAGTATTTCTTTACTGCAGCAATATTCTTCAATGTCAAGGAGCTGCTGGCAGTGCTCGGCCTCTGGGACTATGCCTAAAGAGCTGCAGCAGAAAAAAGTTCTTTCTTTTATGTGTAAGTGCCAGGATACTGTTCCCCATCCAACCCAGGCACAGAAATGGCCCTAGAGATCCATATATTTTAACCTTCAGACTTTATTACCATTAATTATATCTGGAAGTGAAGCCAGGATCCCCAAGAACACGGTAGCAGGAACAAAACACAATCATCCATCTGCCTAGCAACATGGGTTGCCATGAGTACTTCTCCCCGTGCTCCACAGCAGGGGCTCTGAAAGCTGAGCCAAGCTCAAGAACCCCTTGAAAAAGGGCAAAGAAAGCCTGCTTCCTCAGATGAAGACATTCCATCTCCAAGACCTTCCTCTGGAACCTAGAATGTGTTAGCCAGCAGCCTGGAATTTGGAAATGAGGG